ACTCCTTTGTTATCCAGCACCTTGATGCTCGCAAGGGTCTGTTGAGATGCAGAATCTATGACAAAGTTGCACCTTTGGCCATCCAGCTTCCCTGTCACGTAGATACTATGTGTGCTTGGCATTTTACACTTAGCTGTAGGGACTTTCATGATGGGGGTTAGTGGGCGTCGCTCAACAGCAACCACTACTGGTCTCCTTGAGGCTGACCTGTTGGTAATATCCTCCTACACTGGCTCCTCACATGTCCTTGCTCCCCACAGTTCCAACAGCCTTTCTGGGTAGCAGCCTTTACTGCTGTATCGTCTCCCCTGTGTTGAAGTTGCCAGCATTGAGCTCTCTTGTGCCCAGGTTTGTTACAGTGCCAGCAAAGTCCCTCAAACCTCTCTGAAAGCAGACCTTTTCTGGTCTTGAATCCAAATGACTGTACTAACCTCGGTACCTCTGTGCTGGACTTAACGTAGGATTGAAATTCGAAAGCTCTGGCAATTGCACAATTGCCTCTCACAATTTGCGGGTCGGGTCATGGTCAAATCGTATTGGCAGGTTTTATGTATGGGCTGGATTCTTTACAGCCAAGACTTGTTGGCGATAAATTTCAACAATAAACAAATATCACACAGTCCACTTGATTTAGGATAATATAAGAAATCAAATGTATATACAAATGTTCGTTACTCTGTTGTTACAATACAAGCTGTGACAATTTCCCTTTTAATATCGCCATTATACGCCCTTTATGGTTAAACTCACAATCACACAGTCTAGATCTAACTTTCGAACTATATTTTTGACGCGTTTTTATACCCCGACAGAGGTCTAGAACGTTCCACACTTCTAGATATTATTATGCTATAATAATCAATTAAAACAACGAGAAAAACTATGAAGATTCTAGTAATATGACGCAATAATATAACAGTCACCAATCCATAACTATTGAACTACACAAGGTATGATTCTTAAACAGTTACGTAAACAAACCTGCGATAAACTATCGCTTCTAAAAATATCTACATTTAACACTCGTGCTATACTCAAAATGAAACAGTCGTACATATAAAACACGTATGACTGAACATTCTCGCCTTTTGATTAAAAACAGTAGCTCAAGAGTTGGCGGTGGGTAGTGTTGGACTTCCCTCTAAGCTATGACTTGTAAATTAGGGATGTTTGGATACCCCTCCTGTAGCTTTGCGCGAAATTCATTAAAGAAAAAAAGTAAATAACTTTCTAAAATATCAATTTACATTTTTCCTTTATGGGCGAAAAAAATTCCAAAAAATGTTATGTTCCATTGTGTGTAGGTTTTCTGTATCTTTTAAAATTAAACTTTTATCACTGTTTTTAGTAGTTAGATTTCTTTCTTCTTTCACTATAAACTGCATCTTTTTGTGTTGTTTGTTTCTATACTGGGAAAAATTCTCTGGGTTTTTTTCATATTTATTAAATCCACATAAAACATCATCTATACAAATCCGTCAAAAATTGGGTAAGGTTAATACTATATTAAGAGCTCTAGACTATATTGTAATTAAAAATACAAAAGCTAACACTGTTTGTTTTGAATTTCGCGCAAAGCTACACGAGGGCTATCTGCGCTAGCCGCCCCTAATTTAGCAGTGTAAGACTAGAGGGAAACACCAAACATGCTCGCCCTTTCAGCCGTGGGGGCGTTATAATGTGAGGGTCAATCCCACTATTCTTTGGTAAAAGAGTAGCCCAAGAGTTGGCGGTGGGTGGTGATGACTAGCTGCCGGCCGTCACATTGTAACGCCCCCACGGCTGAAAGGGCGAGCATGTTTGGTGGGACGGGGATTCAAACCCGCGACCCTCAGATTGCGAGTCGAATGCTAACCACCTGGCCATGCCGGGCCTGTAGTATATTAATGAGCAAGATGTCGAAACTTTGTTGAGAGACAATCATGAGTTCTAACGACTGATTTATATATAATACATAACAGTGGTTTTCAACCACCATGTCGCTACCCAAAACTGGTCTTTATGAGGCGCCAAAGTTAAATTTTCAATTTGAGTACAATTTTTTAAAAATAAGCCAAACTATATGTGCAATTTATATATAGCATAAATTCGTGGTCCCTCTATCTCTGGTACCCATTAAATCATAAACCGACTTGTCAGTTCATAAATGTCACTATTACTTGTGAGTTGATAAATATACTTGTTAAATTATTGAATGTACATAGCGTGGTCACAAGTAAATAGACACCACCTTTTCAGAAAAAAAATGAAATTTTTCAGTCATATTCACATGAATTGATATATTTATAATTTAATTAATATCTAGTAGATCTTCCTTTCGCTTCGTGGAGTTCGTTGGTCCTTTGGAGTTCGTTTCCTTGGGGCATCGTGAGAATCATCTCGTCAATTTTAGATTGTGGGATTTTCGCCCACTCTTGCTTCAAAACCTGGAGTAGATCGCTCTTCGAACGTG